CACACACAGTACCAACAACACAAACATAGAGATAAACACACAAACACACACAGTACCACCAACACACACACACACACCTACACACAGAGATACACAAACACACACAGTACCACCAACACACACACACACACCTACACACAGAGATACACAAACACACACAGTACCAACAACACAAACATAGAGATAAACACACAAACACACACAGTACCAACAACACAAACATAGAGATAAACACACAAACACACACAGTACCACCAACACACACACACACACCTACACACAGAGATACACAAACACACACAGTACCAACAACACACACACACACACACAGTACCAACAACACAGAAATACACACACACACACAGTACCAACAACACAGAAATACACACACAGACAGTACAAACAACACACACAAACACACACACAGTACCAACACACACACACACACACACACAGTACCAACAACACACACACACACACACACACACACACACACACATACTGTTTGTGTCTCTGATTTGTGTGTGTGTGTGTGTGTAACTGTGTTTGTGTGTGTATCTGTGTGTGTGTGTGTGTGTGTGTTGGTACTGTGTGTGTGTTTGTGTGTAACTGTGTGTGTGTGTGTGTAACTGTGTTTGTGTGTGTATCTGTGTGTGTGTGTGTGTGTGTGTAACTGTGTGTGTGTCTGTGTGTGTGTGTGTGTGTGTGTGTGTGTGTAACTGTGTGTGTGTGTGTGTGTGTGTGTCTGTGTGTGTGTGTGTGTGTGTGTGTGTGTGTCTGTGTGTGTGTGTGTGTGTGATTGTGTATGTGTGTAACTGTGTGTGTGTGTGTGTGTGTGTGTGTGTGTGTGTGTGTGTGTGTGTAACTGTGTGTGTGTGTAACTGTGTGTGTGTGTACAGATGCTGTTGATCTCACTCTGGATCCAAACACAGTGAACAGGTGTCTCTCTCTGACTGAGGGGAACAGAAAGGTGGAGTGGGTGGATGAAGATCAGTCGTATCCAGATCACCCAGACAGATTTGATGACTCTGAGCAGGTTCTGAGTGTGGAGAGTCTGACTGGACGCTGTTACTGGGAGGCTGAGTGGGATGGAGAGAGAGCTGATATATCAGTATCATACAGAGGAATCAGGAGGAAAGGAGGCAGTGAGTCTAGGTGTTCTTACAAATATGAGGGCGGGGGGTTAACAATAATCAGCAATGACTGTATGTTTGGACACAACAGTCACTCCTGGAGTCTGTTCTGCTCTGCTCACAGCCTCGGTTCAAATGACTATTATGTTTGTCACAATAATCAGATAACAGCTCACCTTCGCCCACCTGTCCGCTTTAACAGAGTAGGAGTGTATCTGGACTGGGAGTCTGGCACTCTGTCCTTCTACAGCGTCTGCCCTGGCACACACACACTGACCCACCTACACACACTCACCACCACATTCACTGAGCCGCTCTACACTGGGTTTGGAGTTGAAGGCTCCTCAGGGCGACTGTGTTTAATATAATAACCTCCTGAATCCTGGAGGAAAAACTAAAACACCACAAACACACTGCTGTGTTTATCATAGCAGATAATAATACATACGATTACATTTCAGTTTGTAGTACTAACAATGTAATAAATAGATAATATCCTTTCACTGATACACTGACGAATGAAAACTCTGTATTCTACTGAGAGCTGGTAACCACAGCTTACAGAGGATTACATTAAGGAGCAAATTAAAGCAGTTAATTAGATTATAATTATAATATATCATACTTATTATAGACTATTTCTCACAGATATAGATCTATAAAGCCCTCCTTACCCTGCAGGTGTGCTTTGTAGATACTCTTCTTCTAGACCCTTAAAGGCTACACTGTACTACACAGGTTTGGAGTGTCTGCTTATCAGATCGACGGATGGTGAATGAATGAATGAGTCGGACTGTATTTGATCTGTACCTGGTTTAAATGTTTAAATGTCCATTATAGATTAATTTTACTCATCTTCTTATTGATTTATTAATGTCTATGCATTTTCCCAGTTTTCTCCCCAGTTTATTCATGTCCAGTTCCACCCACTAGCTAGGTCCCCCTCAGTGATGCGATATCACCAGTGCTAGGAGGGTGAAGGCTAAGTGCCTCTGAGTCATGAGCAGCTCCACTGCTGTAAATGCAACCCCTTGTGAGAAAATTGTATATTTCAGTCATGATCTTTTAGGTTTTATATATATATATTGAACTTTATACTTAACTTTTATATGCTTATTCTGTAAACATTGAAAAGCTGAGCTAATTTGGTCAGGATGATATTTTTAATAAAATTATAGACGTAGTAAAAGCGCTTTGTTATGATTAAACTGTATTGTTTCAGCAATAAGACTGTTCTTCAGTTCTATATAGAGTTACAGCTCTGCTTTATTAAGGTTTAATGAAATGAAACATTTATGTTAATTTTGTGATTTGCTTAAAGTTGTGCTTACAGTGCACTTGATTATAATAAATAAGTTTATTATGAAGATGTGTTTTTGTGTTTAAACTATATTTTAAACAAACATCTTTTTTCGTACACTATATTGCCAAAAGTATTCACTCCCCCATTCAAATCATTGAGTTCAGGTGTTCCAATCACTTCCATGGCCACAGGTATATAAAACCGAGCCCCTAGGCCTGCAGACTGCTTCTACAGACATTAGTGAAAGAATGGGTCACTCTCAGGAGCTCAGTGAACTCCAGCGTGGTACCGTGATCGGATGCCACCTGTACAACAAGTCCAGTCGTGAAATTTCCTCACTACTAAATATTCCACAGTCAACTGTCAGTGGGATTATAATAAAGTGGAAGCGATTGGGAACGACAGCAGCTCAGCCACAAAGTGGTCGCCCACGTAAAATGACAGAGCGGGGTCAGCGGATGCTGAGGTGCATAGTGCGCAGAGGTCACCAACTTTCTGCAGAGTCAATCGCTACAGACCTCCAAACTTCATGTGGCCTTCAGATCAGCTCAAGATCAGCGTAGATAACTTCATGGAATGGGTTTCCATGGCCGAGCAGCTGCATCCAAGCCTTACATCACCAAGCACAATGCAAAGCGTCGGATGCAGTGGTGTAAAGCGCCGCCACTGGACTCTAGAGCAGTGGAGACATGTTCTCGGGAGTGACCAATCACGCTTCTCCGTCTGGCAATCCGATGGACGAGTCTGGGTTTGGTGGTTGCCAGGAGACGGTACTTGTCTGACTGCATTGTGCCAAGTGTAAAGTTTGGTGGAGGGGGGATTATGGTGTGGGGGTGTTTTTCAGGAGTTGGGCTCGGCGCCTTAGTTCCAGTGAGAGGAGCTCTTAATGCTTCAGCAGACTGTTGGAGTTTTAATAAAATGTTTCCTTAATCACTAAATGAGTTATAATCATACAGATAAAATTGATTAATAAAAGAATATTAATCCTCTCTAACGAGAGGCCTTGATTTGCTTGTGTAAGGGAGTTTAGACACTAAAGAGTCCCTGAAGCTTTAGAAGCGTCCAGAAGCCAGTAAGCATTGCTGACACAGTAAAAATGAGGGCGAGCTGACCCTCAAAGAGCGAGGTACGCTGATAAGAACCTGTAGAAACCAGTTTTTGGAGCCAGTTAATAAAGCAAGGGTTAAATTGATAGCCTTGAGAGGATGGAACGGCTTGATACAGCCAAGCTAGGAAAGTTTTAAAAAAAATTGATATCATGTCTGTTTGGAAATAAGGATTTCCAAGAAAAGTGCAGAATCAGCATATAATGGAGACTAAGATGATATGGAATCATGTAAAAGGAAGGGGTGATTACTTAATCACGCCAAAACAGGATATAAAAGAGGACGTTTTGTGATGATCTTTGCTTTGTGGTTGTCCAGGAACCATCTTGCCACCTGAAGGCCTTTTCCTTCCAAAACCATAGCATAGATTAGTTTAACTTTAAGCCTCGTATGTGAGGACCTTGGGCAAGGAAAAACAGCTCTTGCTCCCGACAAAACCAAGAGATTTTGGACAATTTCATGCTCCCAACTTTGTGGGAACAGTTTGGGGAGTTTGGCCCCTTCCTGTTCCAACATGACTGCACACCAGTGCACAAAGCAGCTCTATAAAGACATGGATGAGCGAGTTTGGTGTGGAAGAACATGATAGTGTCTGAGCTCACAAATGCGCTTCTGGACGAATGGTCAAAAATTCCCATAACACTCCTAAACCTTGTGGAAAGCCTTCCCAGAAGAGTTGAAGCTGTTATAGCTGCAAAGGGTGGGCCGACATCATATTAAACCCTATGGATTAAGAATGGGACGTCACTCAAGTTCATATGCGTGTGGAGGCAGACGAGCGAATACTTTTGGCAGTATAGTGTATGAATTAATGTTGTGTTGGAAAAATGTTTGAACAGTTCATGCTTTCAATGCAATATTGCTTTTGTCACTATATTTCCACTTCTAATAATGAGTGTGATGTTAAAACTATGCTTCAACTCACTCGACTTGAGGAAATAAATAACTAAACTCTTAAACGTAAAAAGCCTTTTGTTTCCCCTGTCCTAACTTTTTTGGAACATGTTGTCAGCATCCAATTCAAAATGAGCATATCTTTCGCAAAAAACAATAAAAATGTCTCTGTTTCAGGATTTGATATGTTGTCTTTGTGCTATTTTCAGTGAAATATAGGGTTTAGATGATTTGCACATCTTTGAATTTTGTTTTTATTTACATTTTGCACAGCATCCCAACTTTATGGAACTGGGGTTGTATAATCAAAGAACTATTCCATGGTAAATATTGTGATAATGTTATTATCTTTAACAAAGTGCAGTTTTAATAAAACAGACATATGCGTTTCATATATATATGTTATACACTCTTATGTTTCACAATTTTAAAAACAATTCAGTAGACAAAGGAATAACAGGAAATGTGAAAGTATTTGTAGGAACTCATTTTTCATACAAGACATAGTTTAATCATCAAAAATTAATTATTTACGTTAGTTTTTAAACTCAATAATGATGTAAAAATGACAAACATTGTGTCATTTAAGCACTAAAGAGAAAAGCATTACAAACAGAGCTCACACAGGTAGGGCAATAAGCTCAGAATAAGATCAAACATTAATGAGAAATATTTAAGCATAATACTTCCAGATGAGTACTGTGCAAAATGTTTAGATCTGATATCAATATATTAATATATTAATATTAATATATAAATATATTAATACCTTGACCTCGATATTTTCAGTACTTTATTTTAAGCAGAGCTGAGACTGAGAAACTGAGTGTGTCTATATTGTACAGATTGCAGCAGAGTGTATATTAATTAAGAGCTGGTGTTAATAAGATCCATATACAGTGTAATTTACACAGTCAGTACTGTAGATTTCTGAAGAAGAATGCTTATTGAGTAAGGCAGTGGTTCCCCACCTGGTGCTGGACCCCCTGCACTTCATATTTTAGTGTTTCCCAACACACCTGATCCAGTTCATCAGCTCATAAACAGCCCTTCATGACCTGAAGTTCATGTTTGGAGCAGGAAAAGACTAAAATGTGCAGAGCAGGGGGTCCATCAGGACCAGGGCTGGGAAGCTGTGGACTAAGGGATGCAGACAAGACTGACTCAGATATTGAGATTCAGAAATGAATGGTATGGAATATTTCAGTACTCTATACAGCTCCAGTCATTTGGTCAGTATGATAAAAGTATTGATTTGGATATCCAGGCCTCAGCATTCCTACATGCTGTCATAAGTTATTTGTTCAAAGGCAGCGTCTTATTTCTCCTAATCTCTTTTAAACTAATTTGGCAAAGGAAAAATACACTGACACGCCAAAAATCATGGGACAGGAACTAGTATTGTTTAGGACCCCCTCTATCTTGGCTAAGGGCAGTAACTCAGTGTGACATCGATTACACAAGTGGACAGAAGTCATCTGGGGAGATATTCTGTATGACTTTGGCCTGAAGGGATTAACCTGCTGGAATACCCCAACATTGTGGGGGGAACATGAAGGGCTGCAAATGATCACCAAGCAGTGAAACGGTCAATGACGTGTTCAGGCGGACAGGTGGACCCAAGCCATGTCATGAGAACACACCTGACACCAGTGTGGAACCACCACCAGCCTGCACAGTGCCTTGTTGACAACTTGTGTTGCTGTGTCCGGTGTTGTGGTGTTAACTTCTGCTCCCAAATCCCATGGAAGCTAAAAGACACTGCACTGACCTGCGGGATATGCATGTGGATCTTCCTGCAGTCCTGCCTGATGCTGTGCTTTCCTGCTCTCTAATATCATCAGACCATTATGAACATTAACATCATTAATCTTTAACTTCAGCAGTAAGTCAAGGCAGGAAAGGCACCTTCTCTTCTCTTGCTGACTCTGATCCAGCCGTCTCACTGTATAAAGACTATGGAAGTGTAATGATCAAACAGAAACCCTCTAAATTACATTCAGATGATCACGTTGAATTCAGGTCTATTGGTTAAAGTCTGTTTTAATCTTCACTCATTCACAGCAGATTAAACCAAAATAATGAATGGTTATTTGGATGAATTCAGCCGCAACTCACTAAAAGCATTATCCAGCTTTTATATGGAGACACCTTGAAGAAGGTTCTTCTTCACTTTACTGCTGGATCTGCATCCAGGGAACGCTGGAGTGGACGGCTGAACGAATGAACAGGATGTTCTTGAGAGCTCAGGTATGCTTGCTAAATCAGTTTCTGTGTGTCATCAGCGTTTTCTCTGTAAGGTTATCCATTTTGAACACAGAGACCATGACAGGAAGACGTGAAATACAGGCAGTCCTGGGCGTCTGGGATCCCCTAGTTAACCTGTTGGACCCCTAAATGTCTCAAAATCAAAATTCTGGGGGTCCCTGAAAATAACCTGGTGAGATTATGCTGTCCATTAGGGTTACACAGACACTCAAATCCAGACTCAGTGAAGCTGATTGTTTATCTGCTTCCCCCACAATCAGCTTCTGTCTCTCTCTCTCCTTAACTAAATAGAGTAGGGTGGCGCTGTAGCAGACTGGTTCACCCAGCTGGTCCTTCATAGCCTAGAAACTGTAACTCTGCCTCAGTGGAAAGAGTCACTGTTCCTCATTTCAAATCAAATACAAAAGAGGAGGCGTGTAAGATCTCAGTTAATGTGTGGAACTATAAAGAGCTTCCAAAAGACCTGGAAACCAAACATCTTGTTACCACTGAAGCATCAGCACCTTCACCGCTATGGTGGGTGAGTCAGCAGCCATTCACTGTGTGAGTGGCCAGCCTACATGGGACCCCGCGAATGCCAGGGGTACTTTACACACAGCATGAGGGGAACACAGTTTTATTAAAGATATGTTGGCGAGACCACCCACACCTGAGCTGGGGTTGGTGAGGACTTTGTTTATGTACACACTACACCACACTCACCACATTCAAAAACACACACGGCAAACAACCGGCTAGAAGTGTTTATGCTGTCTGACCAGTGTTACGTACAGAGAAATCAGATGGTCACATCAAT